TACGCAGGGGGTCGCCCCGCCAGGACACTAAGAGGCACTCCCCCAGGGGTACGCAGGGGGTCGCCCCGCCAGGACACTAAGAGGCACTCCCCCAGGGGCACGCAGGGGGTCGCCCTGCCAGAACACTAAGAGGCACTCCCCCAGGGGCACGTAGGGGGTCGCCCCACCAGGACACTTACGCTGCCCTCCTTGTCCTGCAGCCGCTTCAGGCTCACACGGCACTGCTCCAGCTCCTCGTGGATGCTGCACTTTTCCCTCTCCGTGCGCTCGTACTGCTCCCGCAGGTCCGACAGCTGTGTCTGTGTGTCGTCGTACTGCGATCGGACGGGGAGATGAGTCAGTGCGGGGAGTCACCTAAACCATACCATGGTAACCCCAGCGGAGGGTGGGGACAGAGACGTACCTCCTTTTGCAGGCTGCGGGTGTGGCCGTCTGCCTGGGCCAGCTGGCTGCGCAGCCGCCCTGCGTCCTGCCGGTGCTGCTCCTGCAGGGATCCCAGCTGCTGCTCCAGCTCGCCCTGGGACCGCTCCAGTGCACTGAGGCTGCTGCTCAGGGTGCAGCTCTGCTCCCGGGAGCTGGGGGGGGGACGGAGGCGCAGTCAGAATGGTACGTGACCATCACTAGGTGTCTCGACAAACGGTTCTGTAAAGTGAGGTCCGGCAAGACATGATGGTGTCACCCCTGAAGCCCCCCACTGCAGGGTGACAAGGAAGTGCGTTCAGCTACACTGAAGAGAAACATGCTGCCCGTCATTAAATGGGTGGGTGACATTAAAGGGGCAGACGAGATGTGCTGCCTGGCAGGCTTCATCACGAAGGGGCAGTGTGGGCGGAGCAAACCACCCCCCCCCCCTCCGGCCGAAGGGCACCACCCTGTTAGCAGGTACTGCATGTGGCAGGGGCGCGCCCATAAACAGAGTAACAAAGACGATCGCCACCCTTGGCACCCTGCGGGCAGACCCACGCCCACTCAGCCAGCTAATGGGATTGGCACGCTACCAGCCACCAGTGGGCGCCGTGTGGGTTGAACATGCCATGTGCTGAGCTCCTTTGATACATACGTTTACATTTTATTTATTTAGCAGATGCTTTAACGAAAAGTACAAAGCGCATTTCTGCGTACTTATCCAGCTCCAGCTCCAGCTGCTGCAGCCTCTCCAGGAGGGCCACCTTCTCGGCCCGCAGGGCGTCGCTCTCCTTCTGCAGGGCGCTGCACTCCAGCCGCAGCCTGTCCAGCTCGCCTGCGGGTGGGGAGACACACACAGACACCACTGAGCTCTGAGACCACCTGAAAGCAGAATGTCACACATGCTACAGTATGGAAACCACAAATCCACAGCTCTGCTGCGCTGGGGAAGGGAGCGGGCTGCTCCCCAGGAAGCCACACCCATGGCGACTGGGGGCTGCTCATGCTGCCATTTTGAAGGGATGCCCCAACGCACGCCAGCAGCTAGAGGGCAGTAGTGAGACTGCCTGCTGATGAAAAGCAGGCAGCCAGGGATCTGGGTAACTCACAGGCCACCGCGCAGCCCTTTAAATCAGTTACAAAACCACAACCAGAAAGGCGTGTGCAGGCAAATGAAAGGGGTCAGCAAACACTGTTCCCTGTGGCGATCTCACTGTGGGTTTTTCCCTCCTAGCAATTATGTGGCGGGTGGGGCTACCTTGCAGCTGGGCAATGCGCTCCTCCTGCTGGCTCTGCTGCTGGAAGCCGGCCTGCAGGACGCCGATCTCCGCCTCATATCCGGCGGCCGCCTGCCTCCATTTCTCCAGCTCAGCCGTGACGGTGCGCAGGTCGCTCTGCAGGCCCGCGATGTCGCGCTCCCGCTCGGCGGCGGCCGTCTGCACCGCGCAGCGCAAGGCCAGCGCCTCCTCCTGGGCGGCCTGCAGCTCCTCACGCGCCCCGGCGATGGCACCCTCCCGCTGCTCCCGCAGCACCTCCATGTCCGCCTGCAGCTTCTGCATCTGGGCTGCGGGGCGCAGCGGGGGCGAGAGGAACGCGGGGTCACGCGATGGCGGCCAGGGAATAAAGCAGACGACGGCGAAGGCTGACAGACTCGTGACCCACCTTGCAGGAGCTGGATCTGCTTGGCAGAGCCCTCCGCCTGCCTCCTGTTGGCCGTCCTCTCCTCCTCCAGCAGAGCTGCCACACAGAACATACCGTTAGCCTCAGGTTCTAGTCCAACGCGGCCCGCAGGCCATGTGACGGCGACTGGCTACCTTGGAGCTCCTGGCATCGCTGCCGGCCGCAGTTAGCCACCTCGTGGGCATCCAGCAGCTCCCTCTGCAGGTGCTCCATCACCTGCTCTGTGTTGCCAGGCTCCAGGTCGGTGAGGGGCAGCTCATCTGGGGGGGGGCAAACGGGTGGGATTTAAGCACGGCAACAGGGAAAGTAGCTTTCAATACATCTCCAAAAACCGAGCCCTTGGTCCCTGCGAGCCAAAATGATCCCAGCAAGGTCCATTTTAGCTTCACATTCACGGTCAGACAGGCGTGACTGAGCCAGTGTGAAGTCACTGACACATCTGACGACGAAGACCACAGGCTGCGGAGATGGGGGGCGGGGGCATGCTCATGAATGCTTCCCTTCCAGGGACACATCAGAAGTTGAATATCAAGCAGGTTAGCCAGAGATTTAAATCCTTAGCTGGGGGGCAAACCACAGGCAGGTAGAGTCCGACTGAAAGCCCAACCTCAGACCGCAGAGAAGCATGGGCCTGCAGACAGCCTGACCCCCCCCCCTGGCAGACAGGAAAGGCCATTTCACACCAAGTGCTTTTACTGAAAGGCTTAAGCGGCACACAGAGCTCAGTGGAATATAACCAGAGGCACATCTGGAGAAATCTGAAGGCCGTTATTCTCTTTTCTGGCCACTGCTGCATGTACCTGGACTGCGGTGCCAAATCCCTCAGCTTAGTAAAGAGATCATCTCACACACTAATCACTGATCTCACTCCCTCTCCAGTGGGACAGCGAGTTTTTACCAAAAACGGCCAGACGTACCCAGTGGGGAGCAGCCTGTTATTGTCTGAACCACATCCAGCTCCTCACATTAACTAATAATTAAAAGACTGGCGATCTGCACCGTTGGGCTCCGGCATTATTCCCAGCCGCTCAGGGGACTGGCACGGACAGACACACCTAAATGCACTGACCTCCCAAGAGACTCATTAAAAGTGCCTTCTGATCTCAGTAAACCAACACATGCACACAGAAAACGGCCTGGAAATACCATTAAGCCAACATGGCCCCAAACTCAGTTTGAGTTTCTCCAGATGATATCCCGTGCGGAATAAATCGGCAGGCATACAACACGATTCAGGTCTCCAGCTCACCTAGATCTGCTGGCACAGACTGCCAAAGCAGCTCAGGTTGTATTAAAGGTAGGAAGGAAAAATAATCCTATTATTAAAAACATTGAAAGATAACTGTCTGGTTTAGCTAATTCAGACCAACAGCACCCTCTAGTGAGAAACAGCACCCTCTAGTGAGAAACAGCACCCTCTAGTGAGAAACAGCACCCTCTAGTGAGAAACAGCACCCTCTAGTGAGCACCTGGACTTGGGGAAGATCTAAGGAGCACCTGCAGAAAACCCAGCATAAGGAAACAGCCAGGCTCAGCAGCAGCCAGTTGCGGTGAACCTCTGGGAAGTGAGCGGAAGCATGGCACAGAGTCTAACGAGGTGGCCAGGCCTAAGTGCTGCCCTAAGACCCTGAAGCAAGTTGGTAAAACTATCCAGAGCACATAAGCCTTCCTCCGCAGAAAGTATCAGTGAACCATCTAAATGACATTGTGTGATGTCACCATAGCAACCACCTTCAGCTGCAAACTTGCTTGACCGACTCGTCAGACCGTGGAGACCATCGGCCCGGGTTCACGCATGTGGCCAAGCAGGAGGCTGCGAGCAAACTGCTCTGCAAGTCATATGGGTGTGAGCAGTATGACGAGGGCCTGTGGCTACTGAGGGCCACCGGGTACGGGAGCGGATAAGGAAGCAGAATGTTACCAGCAGCTTTTTGGTTCAAGTCCCCAACTACTCATGACAAAGACTGCCTTCAATAGCAGCAAAAAAAAAAAAAAAAAAAAGTTTCACTTTGAGACGTAAAAGCGACAGAAACTGAATCTATTTTTGAAAGTGGGTTCTTGTAGCAGGTCTGTCGGGAACTTCCCACTATCAAAGAGTGACTTGCGGGGAAAAGGCCCGGTTAAGGAAAAAATACCGGCACCGAAACTGCGCAGAACAGCGACATACCATTGGTGCTCTGCACACGTCAGAGGCCAGCAGGTACCAAGCAGTGTTTCACCCTAAAGAGACCCATTAACCCTACAGCGAGCATCCCAAGTTCAAGGCCCAAGCCGGCAATCACACACACATATATATATATATTTAAAAAATTATACAGTGGTACCCCAGTTCTCAAACTCATTAGAACTCGAATTTCTTAAAAGTCGAACTAACCAGTTCGAAAAAAAATTACCTAGTACTCGATCTGAATCTCAGAAGTCAAACCGTGAAAGCCGACTTAAGATAACTTGTACGCGCGGGGAAATGAGCCACGCAGCACATCTCTCAGCAGAAACAAAGGGTAACACTTCAGTCTCAGCCTCGCATTAGCTGTAATAGCATCGTGCATGTTTACACTAGCTGAATACATATATTTAGACAGTAAAAATACATTTAGACAATGAGACAGTAACAGTAATTATTGTATAAGATACATTTAAAAATAAAGATTTTTATTAATTATTGTAATATTAATAAACCATTAATACATTTAATTATAATAATATTGTCGTGCCCAGCAGGGACGGGATGGAGACAAAGGCGCAGATGTCAGGGTTTCGGGGAATACGGGGTTTAATTACAGGTGAGGCAGGCAAAACGCAGACGGACAATACAATGAACGGACTGGAG